CAACCTGGTCTAGTGGAAGGTGTCCCTGCTGATGGCAGGGGGGTTGGGACTGGAGATGCTCTGAGGTCCCTTCTAACCCAAACCAGTCTGGGATTCTGTGATTCTGTAACTGCTGGACGAAGAAGGATGTTGTTCTGGTTTCACTGGGATAGAAACACACAACGAATTTTCTGTTCAGGAAAGCTGTATTTTTGAGAAGACTGCAGCAGCCGACTCGGTGGGAACAAAGTTGATAAGACACTTTGTTTTAGTCTGCTGGACGAAGAAGGATGTTGTTCTGGTTTCACTGGGATAGAAACACACAACGAATTTTCTGTTCAGGAAAGCTGTATTTTTGAGAAGACTGCAGCAGCCGACTCGGTGGGAACAAAGTTGATAAGACACTTTGTTTTAGTTTGTGGCCAGCCATGGTATGTGGGTTTCCATAGTGATCAAGGTCTTTTAGCAGTTAGTTTTAGCAGAGTTAGCTAAGTGCTAAAGCAAGGAGGAGCGAAAGCCAGGGCAGCTGACCCGAGCTGGCCAACAGCAGGGTTCCATACCATCAACGTCACCCTCACTATAAACTGGAAAGTTTGCTGGGGACGTCCCTTCTTCCTCAATGGTCACCATCCCTGGAGGGTCTCACCCATCATTCTGCTCCCAAGGCCAACTCTCCCTCCTCCTCCGACCATCGTGCTTTCACCGGAGCTGTGGTGCTCGCGGCGTTTGGCGTCCAGCATTCACTGCTGGGAGCATGCACTATACGGGCCGAGTATACCTTTGTGTATTTTATATTAGTATTAGTATTAATATTAGTTTTTATTATGATTTCATTAGATAATGCCATTTCATTATTCATTTCATTCTCATTTCAAAATTTCAACCCACGGGTCTCCTTTCCTTTTTCCAGTTCCTCTTCTCAGGTGGGGAGGAGGGATCATTGGGTGATAGAACAGCTGACTAAAACCAGGACAGGGGTTTTAGAAGGTTTCCTTTTCTCCTGTCTGCTGTCCCCCCTGTTTTGGGGCTGATGACCCCACTGCCCTCCGGGATGTTCTCAGCCCTCTGCACCGTGGTACCTCCAATGGCTGCAGAGCGACTCCTGGGCTCTCTGCTCTCGCTGTGGCTGTGGACCTTTGCTCCAGGGCTGTCATAGGGATGATGAACATTGTCAGGACTGACTTTTGCACTTCAGGCTTCAATTTCAACCTGATCTAGTGGAAGGTGTCCCTGCTGATGTCAGGGGGGTTGCAACTAGATGATCTTTAAGGTCCCTTCCAACCCAAACCATTCTGTGATTCTATGATTTCAATGGAGCAAATCAACAACGGGGGTCGAGTGTTTTTTGAAAGATGGTCCAGATTTTGGAAACTATTGTCCATGAGATTAAATCCGTGAGCTCCTCTCCACCTCCTGACCCTGTTATTCCTTTGACAGACGAGCTGCCTACTCCTACAACACCGAAGCTCAGATTTACGCCCCCAGCAGCGCAGCATCCTATTTCGAACCGCAGGGAGGTGGAGCTCAGGTGACTACAGCGGCATCCTCTCCTACAGCCATTCCCTCTCACAACATGGTGGGCATCACCATGGACATTGGGGGAAGTCCGATCCTCTCCGGCTCGGGAGCCTATCTCATTCATGGGGGGATGGAAAACACTAGACATTCTCTGTCACATACTTCACGCTCCTCTCCAGCAACGGTATGTAGCCCTGTAGATGTTGCAGCTCGGGGGCCAGGAATTATGCCAAGGGAACTGAAAAACCTTCAGAAAATAAAACTTCCTAAAATTATCACTGTGTATATGTCTGGATAACATGCCATGCAAATGCAAGGGAGAGAATAGACACTGGTGTACTACAGAGCTTTTTTTAACTGGAGTTTGGGATGTCTCCCTGCCAGTGAACAGAGACTTACCAAACTTTCTGAGTAGATCACTGAAATTATGCAGCATGGAGATAAGGGGGTTTGGGGTTTTTTTTTTTTTCCCCAAGCAAAATGTTTTGGCTTTTCAATTCAAAAGAATTGTCTGTATTTACTTTTTCTCAGAAGTATAACATCTGAACAAGGGGTTTGGCTTACTCAAAATTAAATAAAATATATATTTTTCATTATTAAAAGACCTGAAAAATCCCTTATTAACACAGTGGATAATTAGCACATAAAGTACATCAAGCTGATCCAAATGCACAGTGATCGAAAAGCCTTTGTGTATCTCCTACACCATTGTGTATTCTGTCCATGCCATATGTTACAGAAAATGTATTTCAAGGGTAATAACTGATCAAACCAAAATGTTTTAAAAGCTCTTAATTTTTTTTTTAATCATGTCCCTCCAACTGTCAAATTGAGGTGCTGGGTTGCTAGAAGCACAGCTGTACAGCTGTGTAGGACTCAGGGGGATACAGCTATTAACCCAAACCAGCCTTTCTGCAGCTAGAACCTACCAGGGCTTTCATCTGAGGATCTACCACCCCCTAGTAGCAGCTGTGGCTGGGAGTGGGTTGGAGCCCATTTTCTGGGCTGCTGCTGACCTTCCTTTCCAGACTGACTTGTCTGTGTGTTTATCCATTTGTACATAAACATAATTACAAATGTAGGTGTAATTCAGTATATGTGGCCAGATTTTAACATGTGAACAGCACCACCCAGGGAGAAAAACAGGAGCCATTTGCTGCTGAGTACTCTTGAAAATCTGGCGGGTGAGGTTGCACTTTCTTTTCCCACTGAGTTTTACAATACAGACTTCACATTTTTATTGTTTGAATCTTTGTGCCTTGAAAGGTTGCCTTTGATCCTGGAGTAAATGTGCTCTGCCTTAGGTAAAAGTAGGGAAAAAGACCTTAGCTGTGGGTGGAGAATGACAGATGCATCTGGATTAGCTGGGGTTCCTTTCTTGTGTCAGAATCTTCTGTGGGTGAATTTTAATTCTTCGTACTTAAAAAACGAGCATTGGACCATCCTCTTGATTTTTTTGCTCAAGCTTGTTATTTTGAAGGAAGTAGCTGCTGATCTTGTCACCTGCGTGGGACTGCATCTTGCAAAGCACAATGTTACTCTTGTTTGGTTTGTTGTTTTTTGGGTTTTTTTTTTTAATTTCCATGGTGATGGGCACAATGTAGAAAGCCTGAGTAGAATATGTATCAATAGAAATGTCCCATGAGCAGATTTAATTTGTAGCTAGTCTTAGTTTAGTATTAGGTTAATGATTGGACTTGATGATCTTATAGGTCTTTTCACAGCATCACAGAATCACAGAATGTTGGGGATTGGAAGGGACCTCAAAAGATCATCCAGTCCAACCCCCCTGCCAGAGCAGGAACCTAAATGAGATCACACAGGAAGGCGTCCAGGCGGGTTTTGAATGTCTCCAGAGAAGGAGACTCCAATCGAGGCAATTCTGTGATTCTGTAGCTATCACATGAGATAAAGCTGTTCAGGAAAAAAAGAATTTAGGAAGTGACCTTTATGAAAATGCATCTGAAATAAATTCCCTCTGTTATATGTAAGGAATGAACTTTCTGAAGGGTTTTTAACACCAAATGTCTTTGGCTTTTGTGGGGAGGCTGAAGAGGTGAAATAGTGCATGGAAGATGTGTCTGTGAATAGTTTCAGTTCTTTCAGCCCAGACCAGTGTTGGAGGGGGATAGAGCAGAACCATGAGAACTGCTTTGAATTTCACATAATACTGGGTGGACAGATAGTGGGAAGCTTAAGGAGAGCAATGACTAAATCAAATCAGTGGGTAGGGATGTTATTTTTCATTGCCATGTCTTGTTTAAACAGAGAAGAGGAAAGGCTGATGTTAAAGAGGCTGGAGAGGCTGTAGTCCTGGCAAAATGTATTTGGGGCAGGATTAAGAGCTTTGAGGAGAAAAAGAGAAGTACAGCTCATGCAGATGTAGCCAAGGAAGCCGTAGTGTCTGCATGTGGCCTTGGACGTGTTGTGCAAAGGGGATGGATGTCAAAGTGGCCAGCAATGTGAGGGCTTGGCAACTGAGATGCAGCTGCAGGGGGTAGCGAAGCAGGAGGGCTTGGAGAGCGTTGGATGCTTGAGGCAGAGATGACACTGAGACCTTGGAGGTGAAAGCAAGGAGAGCATCTTCAGAGGAGACTGGGAACGAGGTAGCACTTCCACATAGCAATGGTGTAAGAGCTGCCTCAGGAGGTTGAGGGATGTTTGGTAAAGATTGAATGTACACTAAACTAAAATCTTCAAATATTTAAAGATATGTCTTCCATATCTGCTGGAATAATGAAGTTCTGCTTCATTTTATGGGCTGTATCAACACGTGAAGTTGTCCCATTCAGTCTGTGCCAATAGAGCACCATTAATCTTCATTTAAATCAGGCTGCAGTAGGAGAGGAAATCCTTGAGACCTCCTATAAGTGGGTCCTCAGAGCTCCTCACCTTTGTGCAGGACTGTTTAAGAGCTTTTAGTCTTTCCCCTGTAATATTTTTTTCTGCAGATGTGAGGTGTCCATTTGCAGGGGACACTGACCAGAACGCCAAAAGGCCAAGCAGTGGTTCAGTGCTTGCATAAGAGGGGTTGCTCAACTGGCACCGTGCTGCTCCTTGAACAGAGGAAGGAAATGGTGTCTCCCTCTTAACACTGACTCATTTCCTGAAGGCTGCATCAGCAATCAGTCTTTGGTTCCTCATGGTACATCACGGTGTGCTAGAAGGCAGCTTTCTCAAGAACCACTGGCACATAGTCTTAGACTGACCCCCCTTTTTTTTTTAATTCAGTGAGAACTTCTTGAGAAGTGCCACAGTGATGGCACTTTTGGGTGGAAATCCAGGGACATGTGCTGGAGGTGCTTGGACAGTGTCCCATTCAGACATGGCTATGGCACACACCGTGTCTTTGGTTGTTGAATGTTACTTCAGAAGTCAGATCTGATTTGTTCTGGTCTCTCCACCTTTCTGACAGAGCTTGGTTTTGTAAATGGCTGGTTTTATCTCTGCCTTTATCTTCACCATACTATGAGTCAGTGCAAACTGGAGTGCAGGGAGCTAAGTAGTCTGTGAAGGAGGTCATCACAGATGTTTGTGCAGATGCATGTGCCTGCAGATGAGTGCACGATGCATGTTAAATGAGGCCAGATGCTAGAGATAATAGCTGCTGATGGCAAGTTTGGCTGACATGTGCTGCCTTGTGTCCTATCTGCACTAACCAGGCCACAGATAACAGGGCTTTGAGAACATCTACTGGAGAGAAACAGCAGGTTCTGCTCCTGACAGTCCCTTAATGAACTTTGGGTTTGTTGGGGTTTGGGTTTTTTTCATTTTTTGACTTTTTTTTTCCTTCCTCACTTGCAAAAAGCTTGTGCTCAGGAGCACTAGAGCTCTGGGTCCAGGAGCCATCTGATAAGTAGTTTGCCAGAGATTGCCAAGGAACAATTCCCAGTAGCAGAAAGGAGAAGACAAGAAGGTTCTAGGAGAAGATCTGGGCACAAGGCAGCAGCCGTAGCTGGGCTGAGCGTAGAACAGAAGCAAGACAGAGGGAAACAAGAGGGCTCTTCAGGGGCCAGAATGCTTCACTGTGACTCCTCTTGCAGAAGCTCTGAGATCAGTGGAGATGAGCACGAGTAGCATCAAGATGTGGCAGCCTGTCTTCGTGGGAAGAAGCTCAATTAATTGAAACCCTTCTTCTTCCTTCAGAATTCTTTCCAGTAGCAAAGAGCTCTTATCCATTCCAGCTAATGCATTCTGTGTGTCACCCCTCCTTCTGCCCCTGGTTTATTTAGTTGCCATTAGTTTTTTTAGTCAAAGTGTTAAGTTATAATAACCAAAGTCATTACTTCCAGTTTTTCTTGAAAGATCTGGGTAAAATGCAGTTTTTCTGCAGTAAATCTTTGTCCTGCTGCAGCGTATCTGTTTGGAGGTGTTATGGTCTAGGCACGAAGGGGAAAGGAGAAGGAAAACTGCTTCTCTTCTCTAAATGAGCAATGCATATAGTGGAAGATCAAAACCCCCTCTGGTCTCACTC